TAAAATGTTAAACAGAAAGGCAACATATTCCTTTGTGACTACAAGCGAATGGATGGAGTGAAAGCAAACACCATCAATGATGAGAAGCAGTACCTGATGGCTCCACTTGTCTTGCTCCACAAAACTCCAGATGATAAACTCATGCCAATTGCTATTCAGGTGAGATTAGCACTCATATAAAGTAATTAAAGTACACAAATTATTAAGCATTAAATTGAATCATTAAGCATTCAATTTAAACATTTAACAGAAAGAACCAGGTACTAAAGACCAAGCAACCATTGATTAGGTTGAGTTTGGAACCCAAAGCATGCACATCAATATCAAAATAAAAGTATTAATTCCAAAGTTTCCATTTTCAAATCAAGTTCAAATGACAAATATTTTCACGATAATCGCTGGAATGAGGAGGAAGTGACGAGAAATGTTGTCTGATCACAGCCACCAGAGTTGCTGTCTGGTCATGATAACCTTGGTCTGTCAGTAATTCATGACCACTTGTCACAAAACCTGTAATTTAAAAGATTTTTTTGGTTGTTTTAATATATACAATTCTGGCAGTATTCAGATTATGTTCTGATTAGCATTGTTACTCTGGTGTTAACAGGTGTGCAGGTGTTAGCATTGTTATTATCAGTACAATACACTGATTTACGCAGTGACTTTGTAGTGCTGTATTTTTGTACTTGTGCTCTTAGTTGTCTTAATTCATACATTTGCTTTTGTTTTTGTTTGGTGAAAGGTTGAACCTGCTGATAAATTAATGTAACTTTACGATTTTCTTCTGACTACTTTCTACTTTTCAGACATTAATTCAGCACATTCCTGTTAGAGTGGTCTTTTTTTATTTAAAACAAAATTATTTTCTTTTCTTTCTGTTTTAGAGATACATGACTCCAAAAACCCTTTTGTGTTGTTTTTAAAAGTGTTTTTGAATCCTGTAGCTGCTTTTACAAACAATTGTAATTCATGGATCCTTCACACTATGAACATTTTTTGTTTGTTTTCTGATTCTGAAATGAGACATTTGCACTTCTAGCAAGACATTGATTCCTGATGGCAACACTTACTGTGATGTTATAAGTTTGTGAATTAATGAAGCCAATTTTAAATGTAGAAAGAAGAAGAGAATGACATCCAAATTGTGTATTTTGTAAAGAATTGAAACAAGTCGAAAGTGAAATTCCCTTTCTTAGAAAGTAGACTTGTAGAAAAATTTGGATGTCAGATAACACAAAGATTATAGGCTTTTCACTTCAACAACCAGTCTGGTTTGTTCATTTGTTAAAGGGTTATAACTTCAAACACACATGCCTGTCTGACTATTGTTCAGTTTAATCTGATTTCAGATTATCAGTGTGGATTAAGTTCAAACTCTTCACTGAGGTTCTGAAGAAAAAAAAAAATGAGTCAGTGGAAAAAATACAAAACAACTTCAGGAACATTGTTTATCTGTATGATTGACCTGTAATCAAATAAATGCCTACACTTTATTTAAACCCTGATGTAGCTGAAGCAGAAACCAGCAGAGGACAATCCAATCTTCTTGCCATCTGATTCAGAGTACGACTGGCTGATGGCAAAGATTTTTGTCAGAAGTGCAGATTTCAGTGAGCATCAGCTCAACGTTCACCTGCTGCGCACTCACCTGCTGGCTGAGGTCTTTGCAGTGTCACTGTTGCGCAACGTGCCCATGGTGCATCCTCTCCACAAGGTAACTGAAGCTGCAGGTTCCACTGTGTTTATGCCGACACTGACAGATTCCCATGATGATGCAACATGTAAAAAACTTGATCTATTAATTGATTAATTTTACTGATTCTTAAGTTTTGACCCTGTATTATTGTAATTCAGAAACCTTTTTTTAATTTGCAAACTGTTACTGGTGTTATAACCAACATTGTTTTCTCTTTTTTCAGCTTCTCATACCTCACACTCGCTACACTCTGCAGATCAACTTCTTAGCTCGGAACAGACTCATATCTGAGGAGGGTGTTTTCACCAAAGTAAAACAAAAAACTTTACTCAGAAGGACATCATTACATTTAATTTTGAATGACAGTGTTTGTCTCTAACTTTGATTTGATCTTTCTCTAGTTTTCAGCTTCTGGAGGAGAGGGTATGATCACAATTCTGAGGAGATCGCTGTCCTCAGTAACATACAGCTCCCTCTGTGTGCCAGAAGACATTGCTGAGCGCGGAGTGAAGGACGTACCAAACTTCTACTACAGAGATGATGCACTCAGACTGTGGGATACTATCAACAGGTATGATAGGCTACTTCCATTTTTATGAGAGGCCCCATAGGCCAAAACCTACAAACTCTCTTACACGTACTATCAAACCCTCTCACATTCGCTATCAAACCCTCTCACATTCGCTATCAAACCCTCTCACATTCGCTAT